ACGCTCCCAAACCAATCTATTCTCAGTGAAAATACAGCTTTTATTTTCTGCCTAAAGCATTCCCAACAGTGGCACATACAATGTAGGGACTTGGTGTTTTGCACCATTTGCAAAGCATTGTAAATTAATGAAGCCATTAGCTTTGTTCTGTTCAATAGGGCAGTCCCACCATACACATACCCTGGGACTCTCAGTGCTCATCTGCTTGGATTACTTCTACAGAATATCTGCAATATAATAGTATTAATAATAAATTAAATAATAAATTAAATAATAAATTAAATTAATAATAAATGAAATAGGTTTTCTTTCTGATATCCATCTGTTTCCAAAATAACCAGAGATCATGATGACTGGATACATTGCTTTACACCTCCAAAATTATTCTTTTCTATGGATTGCTGTGCATTTGTGGAATTTCTAGTACGACAAAACAAAACCCCCAAAAAATATAGGTCCAGGCTTTCTTTTCTCCTCGATATTATGGAACATACAAAGAGAGAGATCTCTACAAGGTAGGTGAGAGAGTGACCAAGAGCTAGGGATGGCTGATAACAGAAGACATAATACTGCTTAAGGCAAGGCAGGCAAAAGCTGGGAAAACGAGAGGATACTAAGCAGAAGTACTGGAGAAGAAATGAGGTAATATGTTGAGCTAAAAAGCTAGATTGAGAGCCTAGCCCACAATCAGGCTAAAAATCATTATCTGTATTACAAGAGGGAGAAAGCAGAACAAAGGGAAAGACTAAGGCCAATTTGGGGGTGTCAACAAAACTATAGGAGGCTGGAATGAGGTAACCTTAGGCCAGTCAGACCAGAAAACAAAATCACACACAGAGTTCCTGGAGTATGTCTGCAGTTGAATGACACTTTTCAGGCATTTTAGCTGCTTGGATTGTGCCATGTACTTGATGGGATAAAATTATGAGTGTGGCCCCAAGATCAATCTGAAACTTTCAAGTAGACCCAGTGAGTAAAATGTATCAGATCTTAAAGATATGGCACTGAACTCTGAAACACAGAAATGTCCAGTATAGAACGCTGCATGTCCTAGATGGATGGTTACTTAACAGTGTGTTTTTCTTTTCATCATTTTTTATAATTAGAATATTTCTCTCACTATGTTTGAAAAAAATACAGTATTTTCATTCATTTTCCCTTTGTTTTTAACTTAAAAATCCATTTCTAATACTATCTTTTCTGTGATCAAATTTTGGTTAAGCTGAGTGTAAATTTCTTTCCAAGGTGGATGAATTCAAAATACTTCAGCTGAAATAAGAGGTATTAAAACAGTTTAATTTTGTAAAAATGTATATCAATGTATTTTCTATTGTATATCAATATTCTTACTTTAGTTGCGTCAGAGTTAAGCAGTTATAATTTTTTTTTCTTTCTATCAAAAATGGGTGTTCCTACTATCACTGCTGGAAGAGGATTTCATTCTAAGCATCAGAAAGCATTTTGTTGTATATATATAGATTTTTGTAGTCTGTGGGAAAGTTACTTGTTTGCTTTAAAAATAAGCATGACGTATCTAATAAATAACCTGCAAAAGTAAGTTAAGGGCTCTTTTTCAGTCATTCTTTCATCTCTTAAAAACCCAAATTTTTTCAATAACATGAACTTGAAAGATAAGAATAGTGAAGAATGATTCTATACTTCTTTTTAAAATGCTGCTGAAATCTTGATCTATGTCTTTTTTTTTTTTTCCTGTGCAGGCAGGGAATCAACAGGAAAGAATATTTAGAAAAAAGAGAGGAAATAGAGTTATAGAGTAACTTTTCTCCTGTAGACATTTAGAGAAACCTTGGACTAAGAAATATCTATTAACTGTAGAAACAGCAGGTGATGACAGCATGAGTCCATTTTTCCCCTTTAATGAGTAAGATCCTTTAGAAAAAATTTGCTTGAAGATGTTAATAAATCTCTTCTATGCAAAATCTGTCATGATGCAGTACCTTACCTCACCAAGGAAAAGTTTTTCTTTTTTCCTTTCACTCATTCATTACTTATCTAGGCTTTAACCTTTCCAACATCCCCTGAGTTAGCTTACAGTACAGGCTTTTATACAATGATTTATGCATCACATAATGAAAGATTCATAATAAGCTACACTTTTTCTCAAATAACCCCCTAAGTCATTTTGATTTGCCCTTTTTAAAATTTTTTTCACAGTAGTTGATGCCATTTTATTCACTGATTAAACAAGACTACTTTGGCAGCACGTAATTTTATTAATGCCTGTTTTAAAAGTAAGTTGAACTTGGCATATAATTATGCATAAGTAAAAAGTTGGTAAGCTTAGGAACAATGTAATCTGAATTTCATCACCACATGAATAAACTTTATTGGTGTCAAGAAATTATAGCATCTTTGTAGCCATAACCCACAAACTTTCTGAGACCCGTATGGCCAAGAATCTGGTGGGAGATGGTGCCTGAAGGCTGAAGGACTTCAGCTGCCCTGGATCCTGGGAGGTTCAGGTCTCCTCTCTGCCAGGCAGTGTATGAATCCATCTCTGCCTGCTTTCCAACTGTGAGCCCATTTCCTGCATTTTGCCAGAAAATCTCATAGGTAAATTGAAGTGAAATGGAAAATCAGTCATTTTAAATACAGACCATCTATCTAGTGCACAGCGGTTTGCTTTCAGGGACGTACTGTTACTGCATTAGGCCTGGTCAGAAAAGTTCCCCTGAAATATTTTGCTGCAGTCAGATTCTTGGCCAGAAACAAAATTGATTTTGGTGAGTTCACTGAGAAAAATGGAAGAAATATGCCGAATAAAAATAACTTATTACATATTTTTATTTATTTTTACAGTCTTTAATTATGGCAGTAACAACGAACACATGAATTCTAATTTCCAGTGGAAATCACTTTTGCTTTAATTTCACTCCTTAACAAAATGCTTTTTAATGTACTCCTCAGAAGACACAGAAAACCTTGAAATGTTGAAATTTTCTAAAAGATTGGTGTCTTCAATTTTTTAATATACTCCGCAATAAAAAACTTTTGCATTTAAGACAAAGATACTAAAATGAAAAATCAGATGTGTGATATCTGGCAATGTCTCACTGAAATGATACAGGGAAGAATCTACAGGAATCATAATTAGACAAATTATTTCAGATTGCCAATTACTGCACATAAGCACTTTAAAACAGAGGTAAACCATAATGAGCTAATTATTACTGAACTAATGTTTAACTGTAATTAATAATAATTTCTAGTATTTTGAGGTTCTAATTTTAAATCAATATTCTATCCACTGAAACAAAATATTTCCCTAATGAGAGGTGTTGTTTTTCTAATTCACCAGAAGAGACTCATGAAAATAAAGTGGGAGATAAGCTCATCTGGAGGAAAAAAAAAATCACAAAAAAAAAGAATGGAAACAGATAGACTGAGATTTTCCAAAACTGTAGTTTCTAACAAAGATTGCTGTAAATATGGAATAAAACAGGTTGAATACATAGAAATATTTATTTTTTACTAGAAAAACAAAAACATAGACATATCCAAATTATATTTTATTTCAAACTTTGTTTTTAAGTAATTATGTCAACATTGGCTTGAGTAAAGGGGAACCAGTGTCTAAGTACAACAAACAATCTTGGAGGCAGAAAATCCAGTTTATTTGGTTTTTTTAAAATCTTATACTAGTGGAGATAATTAGATGTTTGACAATTATTGAACCACAAAATGGTTTGGATTGGAAGGGACCTTAAAGATCATCCAGTTCCACCCCCGCTGCCATGGCCAGGGACACGTTTCAGCTGAAGATACTTTTAATAACTATCTTGTCTCTCTGCCAGAGGTCTGCTATCCTAGCAGCTCATGTAATCTGACTCTTCTAGTTAGAATTATGATTTCAGAGAAAGAATAATTCTCTTGTTTGTTTATCTTTTCATTTGTGAAGAAACTACCTGCAGTATCAATACTTTGAATGAAATAGTAACTTGCATTAGAAGCTAGAATTTAAGGAATTCTGTGAAACTCCTCATTGATGTACAACATGTTAACTAAAAATTATGATTATTGCTCTAGGAGGACTATTCTGGATTATTGCAGTTATGGGTTTGAAATGCATTGTGGATATTTAAGCTTTGATCAAACAGTATTCTTGTCTGCTGGTTTATTTCCTGAAAAAAATAATGGTATGACTGTAATCCATTTGTCTTTTATTTCCTGGAGATTTATTGTTTGCTTGGCTTTTGTTGTGGGTTTGTTTTTTTTTTTTTGGTTGTTGTTTTCCTTATCTGAAATATTTTTGCTGATGAATGGGAGAGATTTGATCCTATTGTATGTCTTAACTCTCTCCAGTGTAGAATCCTACTCTTAAACCTTTTAAAATATTCTATTTTGAGCCTTTCTAACAGCAATGCAGGAAAAGCAGAATTTAATCAGAGATATTTTTAAAAATGTAACAACAGAGTAAGAAAACCAAATTAAATGTCCACCTCTTAATTAAATAGTATTTCAGGAAAAGGTTCAGTTAAAGTACTTCACCATTTTTAACCTGTCAAGTGAAATGGTGCTTCTGTTCTGTTGTCACTATTATGTTGTTTCTGAGATGCATCCAAACAAGTGAGGGCAAAAGTGTATAACATTGTCTCTGGATATCTATGGATGCTTTGATATTTAATGTAAAAAAATTATATTATCTGTCATGTTATCTACTGTTCTTCAATAGATCCTATTTTTAATATATTATTTAGTTGTTAGTGCCTGTCCTGGAACCCCTTCTGCTTCCCTGGCAGTCAGAAAGCACAGATTCTAAGCACATTTCTGGGTAATAGTAATGGTCACAGCATAATGAGGTTTAAATTGGAATTAATTTTTTTTTCCTCATCCAATTTGTCCTTTTTTTTAGGTGGAATGGAGAGATACTCTCTAGAGAAAAAGGTGTGTTATCATTTGAAATGAAGGAGGGAGGCATCTTGGGTCCAGTTCCTAATCAGGAATCACCATGGAAACAGGAGCTACCCCCTTATACCTTTCTTGTGAGGAAGTGAGGAAGCAAGAACCCCACAGGTATGAGGTTGTTCTCTATTGCCTATGCATGCAGATCTGTGTTAGACACTTTGTCCTTTCTTTTTTTAAATAAATTCTTTTTATGTGATCCTTTTGCAAACATATCCAATATAGATACAAATTTGAGCTCTTTAAATTATGTTGAAAATTTGGACCTTTCATATATGCATATAAAGCATAATCCTTAGAAAACTTCATGCTAGCTGATCATAGTTCCCTAGGCATGTCTGTCATCAACAGCCTTTGCCTCCAGAGTTAAGAACCAGACTATAAACACAAACTAAGCTCATCATCATTCTCTTGAAATGGAAAGAAGTTGATGTGGTTCTGCATCACACTAACATGCAGAATCAGATGAGAATATTACCCTTGCATTCTGATAATGCATTTTGCTTGAAATATGCCCTTCTGCTTTCCTCTTTCACGTTTGCACTAGAATATTCAAATTCTCAATTCTTTTACCTTAGTTCTGGAATTAGCCTTCAGAAACTTCTTCAGATGTAATAAGATAAAGTTGAAAATTTTTTTAACCATCTAGTCTTTTGAGGGAAGTAATTAAAAAATTCATGTCATTCTGGAAACACAAATTACTGTAGTACCAGTAAACCCACCAACTGTATTTATAATGCCATGTAACATAGGTTCTAAAATTTGGTAATTCCTATTGCAATAGGTCTAATAAGTTTTTATAACTAAATAAGTATTTGGATGAATGAGTTATTGCATAAGGAAAGTTAATCATTGAGATACTGCTAGGAAAGTTCTGATTCTCCTTTTCTTTGAGCCAGGAAAATGCTGCTTCAGGATGAGAATGCAACCAATCATAAAACACATTTTGCGTATTTGAAACTGTGCTGAACTGCCTGTAGAATCTTTAAAAGACAAGACAATGTTCTCCAAAATGTGCTCACACATTCCATGTAGTTATTATTCATCCTTAGCTTGATTGCTATAGCATAGGTTTTACTCCAGTGGTTGATTTTATAGTGAAGATTTGTTCAGTAGAATATTTTTGTATAGAAGGAAGATTTAATCCAATGAATTACTGCTTCTTTGGAGTTGTTTTGGGGATTTATTTTAATGTTTCTGCTGAAAATGCCTTTGGTTTGGTTGTTTGGACTATAGCTGCAGCCTCTGTTCTAGACTGCTTGAAAAACTATGTGGAAATGTATTTGAAAATGAAGTTGTTTCATTGAAGCTCTTCTTTGTGTATTTTTATGTCCCTTCACATGTAAAGCTGTCAGTTATTTTAATGTGAATTAAAATTTTCCATGTAAGAGCATAGCTGTAGTTAAGAGTGAGCAGAGAATCTACAAATAATAGAAGTTCCAGCTTAGGAAAAAAAAATCAAAGGCTTATTTAAAGCAAATATTATTTTCCTTAGTGAAATTCTAATGAAGATTAAAATATCTATATTTATTGGCCCAAATAGAGAGCAATTCATCTTATACTACAGGTCACTCACGGCAGAATTCAGTTGTTTTACATCGGTGCCAAATGCTGTTTTAAATGTCCTTGAGTGCTGACACCTCCCATTTTTGAAGATCCTGTTTCATGGCAGTTGTACCTAGCAGAAGCTTCCAGGAAGTTGTAGAGGTAGCCTTTATTTGCCTAAATCTAAATATCAGGCGCCATTTGAGGGATACTCAACAGTCATGACTGCAGGACATGACAGGACATGACATGGATTTCTAATTATGGACAGAGATTAAATCATCTTTTCTACTTTGATATCATTTTTTCTCAATTTTGGAATTATTTTATTGGGGAAATAGTCTGCTAACTTGACTTTAGCCTAAGTATAAATATCTATTCTTAGCTTTCAGTGTATCCACTGGGGTTTTTTTCAGTAAAGGAATTGATTTCTTTATTCTGGTTTCTAACTACCTATTGCTATTTCTCATAAATCCCTACCTAGGAATCTGTCATGATGCTGTACTACAGAGCTCATTTGTACTTGTATTTCCATGTTTGTGTCATGAATGTAATGATAACTTTTCAGCACTTGGAGGTCTTCTCTTGGTTCATGTTGATATCTTCTTCTTTTTCAGTCTAGGATCTGCTTCTATGTTTTCTAGAATGCTGTTATAACTTTACTCTTCTTTTCATTGGCCTGCATCTGCAATTTATATCTGAACTTACCATGTACATTAACATCTACATTTGTCTATAGCTATTTCTTTTTATTTTTTCTTTGAATTAGTCTAAAGATCAGGTTTTTTCCAGCTTAATGTTTTGAAGTCAATAGCTGACCATGCATGAGCATTTACAGCCATGTCTCCAGTGCCACCCTCTGTCTCGACTCATCATCCTCTGTAGGTGAACCTCTGTGTCACATCCTGTGTCTCCCCTTCCTAAGATATCATCTGTGATAGTAAGACTGTATTTTTCAATGCAGCATCATTATGTCAGTCATAAAACCTTTGTGATGCTGACATATTAAGATAAGATAGCCAGAACCACCTGGCCAATTGTTAGATAAAAAAGATCTGTTAAAAAACCAACCTGCTAAATCAGGAAGTTCGGCTAAAGTTTAGAGAGAAAAAGTCTGTCAAACGTCAGTGGGGAGGGTGTAAAGCTTTCAATCTCTTTGTTAACAGTTAACACTATTGTTAACAATAGTGTATTATGGGGCTGCAAGGTTATGATAGGTATATAATTAATAGTGATGAAAGAAAGCTTTTTGCAAACCTTGCCTTTCTACATATTCTGCAGGCAAATTCAATAGGGGTAACAACCAAGCTGACTCAATAGAAATCGTTCTGGTTAGTGCATTGGATAATGTAAGAGGGTGGGAACACCAGATAGTATTTATTAAAGAAGAATGACATACTTGTACTGGTAAAACAGCACCATCTGCTTTAGCTTGTTAAAAAAATTCTGACCCAAAATTTCATGCACTAGAAGAGATGAGTAGGAGAACAGTTTTATGGCATTTGTGAGAGGCTAGATGACTTGTAGAGGAAACTTTTCTTTTACAGTAGCCCTTCAACTTCTGTTTAGCTTCTTTGTATTCCTTATCTCTGGGCTGCTAGAGTTATTACCTGTTCTTCAGGAGTAATTCAGCAGTTACTTTAGTCTGCCTTATGTGTCTTTTCCTTTTAGGAAACAACTATGATTTTCCTTGTTCAATTGCAATGCTTTGAAAGAGTGTTTTAGAGCATGAAAAAGTGTTCCCTTATTTCTCACTAAATAGAGGAATTTAATTATGATCTATCTTTTGCAGAAGAGTACCATGTTAGAAGATACTCCTTGTTGCCTTAGAACTAAAAACTGAATATGACCAAGGATGGTTTCTAGGAGAAAAATTATATAAGTTTTGTTTGGAAATCATAATTATCCTTTAAGGTACTTACTGGCCTTTTATTATCCCCAAGACTATAGGGGATAAAAGTGCATTTCCAGTTAGATATTCACCTCTGAGAGAATCCTCTATATTTACCCACAGTTTTGTTTTGCTGTGCCATGACTTTGGTTTCTTCAGGAAGGATTCTTGGCAAGTACAATGATAACATTCTGAGAATGAGCAAAATCACCCACTAATAAATTTTTCATTATAGTGTATTTCCTACTTTAAGTCGACTTTGAATTTTAATCTTTAGTTCATGTGTAAGTCTAAACACTCAGGCTTAGGAATTGCTGATAGGGGAATAGATATTAAAGGAACAAAATGTCTTTTAATAAAAATGAGATGTGCATGTTTCTACATCTCCTGTTCCCTGTACACACTGGCACATGCACAGACACATTTTTGAGCCCAACTTCCATGATTTGGGTGCAAAAAGAACTAAGACAGGAATGAGCCCTCATCTTTAGTCCTTTCCTTGAATAAGGTGCTGTCCAATGACTTCTGTCTGAATATTTTATTAGGCCTAGTAAATGTCTATGTACATAAATAGACACCTACACTGGCACAAAGAAAACATGTTTCCTAAAGGAAATAATTCCTAGAAAATTCACTGTCAAACATAATGAAAGCAGATCTCTCTGAATCTTTCTGAGGAACAGGGTTTTTAGAGTTAAGTTTTCAGGATCAGCAGTTGAGAAAAATTTTCTCCCCGAGAAGTAATTTTAAAAGTGTCTTATCTTCCCCCACCCACCACACACACACAGGAGCAGCATTTAGAAACCCAGAATAAAATTCTACCAAAGATTTCAAAGGAAAACTGGTAACCTGGTAATCTTACCAGTGATTTTGAACAATTTTCCTATTGACATGTTTAAAGTATAAGGCTCTAATCGATTTTAAAACCTTGAAAATAAAATGAATGGCATACAAATGATATTAGGAAGTACTTGATGCTTCTGTGTAGCCAAATACTTCACATACATAAACATGATGGACACCATGTGAATATTACTACCAGGCAGTTTTAGTGCTGTCATTTTAAACGAGTGCAGCTTTTGTTAAGATGCCATTAATTTTTATTTAATTGATGCCTTGGTTTTAGAGATTGGGATCATTCTGTAGCCACATTATTATTCTATGCAGCAGCTTACTCCAGGCTAATTTATTTTCATGTCTGCATTCTTTGGGAACGTCAGATCTGTTTATTCAGAGCAGATAAATCTGCCATGTGGTAAATGATAAGAAGGAGATGGTCAAGTATGTTATGTTTCTAACCCTTTGAGTTCTGTCAAAATTATTGTAAAATGTGTGATATATTTTGAAAGGAAAAGAATAATGTGTTGTTTCATTCTGTGGAACAGTTATGAATTCCATATAGAATACTATTAGTCTAGAAATTGGATGTGCCAGTGTGCTATAGAGAAATGAGTTTTTTAATATAATCTTCAGCATAAAATGAAAAATGCTATTTATCATAACATTTGGCATTTAGATAGAATTTTTTGAGACTCTAAGAATTATATTAGCATCCATTAAGGGCAGCACATGACACATTCCTTGAGGTAAGCAATTCTCTCATTAAATTAAGGAAAAAAAGATAACAGCATAAAGAGTTGGTGGTTATTCAGAGCCATCATAATCTGCCTTTCCTAGGCTTCTTGCTTCTGTGAGACCACAGTCCTTCATTCCTTGAAAAGAAATAGCATTCCAAGAAGCCAAAGAAATTTTAAGATTAAGTTTGTATTGCCTTATTTCAGTAAGAAAAACATTAGAGTGTATTCGTTTATATCAGTTGTTTGTTTGTTATGTTATTGCTGTTCACAGATATGGAATAAAATTCTCAATATATTAACTCTTGTTAGGCTGGTGGGTGATGGTCTTTTAAACTTATACTACTACTGATAATGAGAAATTCAAAAGTAGTGTTTCATTTAAAGATGTTTCTTGGCATAAGAAATACCCCATTGCATTTATACATACTTTCATTTAGAAAATACATAATTAGTTAAATATATTATTTGCTATAAATTTCTAATGGCACTTAGATGTTGCACATAGAGTTTCATAAATTAATTTTCTTTACTATTAAGAATTATTTATGACAGAGGTTTAAAAATAGGAAGAGGACTGTTCATTGCAATATCTTAAAACTGAGTCTCTCTTTGACCTCTTGAATTCTCGTGATTGACCAGGTGCCAGTTTGCCCTTTTATACAACACAGGTAAATGTACTGTTTAACTTACATACAGATAACTGCTGTATAAACAGTTATATGCATAACTGCTTATAAACAGATAAAAGCACTGTTATAAAGTACAGAGTTACTAACAGAAATGTGTTCATAACAGAAAGCTATTTGCTGCTATCATAAATCATGTCATATCCCAGACAGTTTTGGAATGACATTATCTTTGGAAGATCAGTAACAAGCTGTATCTCTGTAGTTTGCCCTGCAGTTCTTACTAGTAATGAGAGTTTAAGAGCCTTCAAGACCTTCAAGGAGCGAAGTAAAATGAAGCCACTAAATTTTACATTGTTGTAAGGAACAAATCTAGATGAACTTGTAAAAGTGTCACATAAATTTGGTGCTTGCGCAGAAAATATATTTTTCAATTGACTGATGAAAAAAGAAGAAAATATTAAAGAAGTTTAAACTAGTGTTTAAAATGTTCAATAAGAAAAAAAAAAAAAACAGTTAACTATTTCTTATTCTAAGATAAGTATTATGGGTTTGACCCCTGTATGAGCCATTCACTCAGGAGCAGGACTTGAAGATCCTTGGGGGTCCCTTCCAACTCAGAATATTCTGTGCTTCTGTGATTTAGATACACTGGATTAGAGATTAGAGCACAGAAATAAATCCAACCTTGAGCTTTTGTTTTCAAAAGGTGCTGCAGAGCCCTAGACATTATGGAATGTTTCTGTACGTTTGATAAATATGAACTGAGAAACAGGTGGCTTTTCCTCAAGAACACCTGCAAGAGAGAATTGGAATAGGAACTACTTATTTATCTGCCTTGCTCTTTCTCATTCATAGTCCCATGCAAGGTGGAACATTGTGCATTGGATTTTGCTTTGTGAGGATTGAGATGTAGTAGTCTGTGAAGACAGAATAACCTACAATATTAGGACAAAATATTATTTTTTTTCCTTCCTTCTAGTGACAATATGCTTCAGGCAATCCTTCTCATAGTACACATGAATATTTTAGGTTGTCTTATGAAACTTGTAATGAATAGGAAATCCAGCATCGTATTCTTTGCTAGTCTTGTGTCTTTCTTCTATCTTACCTATTTCCCCTGGGATTTTTTCCTTGCTTTTCTTTTTGCCCTGTTTTCATGTTTGTTTTGGGGTTTTTTTAGAGACTTTAGGAATCCTCTTTCCTTTTTCTTGTAACAAGCCATAATACCAAAGGATTGGAGAAGTCTTCATAAGACTCATCTAGACTAGACAGGGTGACACACTTAAACACCAATTACCTATGTCAAAATACAAACATAAGTCAATTTTTCCTCTACTTGTTCTATCTGTTCATTCCTTCCAATATTGCAGTTTTATGCTAAACCCCAAAATCTCAAAGTATGTAATTTAAAAGATCATTCTAAAGAGGGTTTTTGAGATGATTTTCATATTTAAATAATAATGAAAAATCAGCTACCTATGTGATTTGACTGTCCCTCAAGATTCTTTAAGTGAAGCATGACAAATTTGCCTAGCATGCCATATACAAGATAGGTCTTTCAACACTTCATGGACCATGAAGTACTAAGATGACTTTATCTAGAATCTGCAGTGCAACAGAATTATCTATATTATACAAGTATTTTTTGTCCCCTTTATTTGAACTTTTATAGAGGTGAGAAACTAAACTGATTTTAAAAATAAAAGTTTAAAAATGAGATAATCCTCTTTGCATTGTCATGCAAAGTGTGATTTCTGTTGTTTTTTCTTTAAGTTCCACAAAACTATCCTGATAAAACAGAGAAACATTTTCTCTCCTTTCCACAACAGTGTCTTTTTAGTATTTTTATTCTTTTTACTTATGACATTTAACAATGAAATATTAGCATGGATTGTTCTGAGTTGCAAGGGACACAGAAGGTGCTAGTAGCACCAGGGTCATGGGTTCAACCCCATGTGAGACATTCACTTAAAATTGATCATCCTTCTGGGTCCCTTGGAACTCTGAACAATCTGTGGATTTCTGCTTTTTTGCAGAACTGCTGTCTACACTATTGAAATGGATTAACAATTCTCTGAGGTCAAATGAAATCTATAGAGTTTAGCCAGCTGGACTGCTTTTACACCTTTTTTTTTTAATTGTTCTGTGTAGTACATTCATTATGTCATGTTTTTCCAACTACAAAATAAACCACCATGTCTTTCTGGGAAAATAGGAAAGCTTAACTCATCCATTGGAGATTTTTCAAGTGTTTGTTTCCATAAAAGCAGTTCTATTTCTCCTTTTCCTATGTTAGAAAAAGTCATATCTAAAATCTTTAATCTTAACAGTGAAGGCTTGCTTGGCCTTTCTGTTGCCTAAATATTGTGCTGATCGTGGTTAGTGTTTCACTTTTGTAAAAGTGTTTTTTGTCTATGCTGGAAAGTAATATCCCCCATAAAGGTCATGACTTGAAAAGATACATGGAGTGAAGTGAGTGGCACAAAACAGTAGGTAGCAAAGCATTGTACAATTCATTGAACAATAAGGTCAATTACTTCATATCTACTTGTAGCTCAGCACAGCTGGATGGAAAAAAATGCAATATCTGACTGGCATTCTGTAGCAGTCTAATGTAGAATAATAATAGAGTTTAAATTGCCAGTTTACCAAAAGTGTCATTCTGGGTGGGCCAGCACAGAAATGAGAAGCAATCTGTCTGTCAGAAAAGTATTACAAAAAGAACTAAAGAGTATTAGTCGAACAGGGAAGAAAGAAAATAGTAGACAGTGCATTCCTTGTTAAAGCAGGGGTCTGATGTCCTAGTTTTTATACATTTTTTTGTCTTAAAACTATCTGATCAGACTATTGCAGAAATTCTTTACTATTTAAATGTTGTTAGTAGCTTTATATAAAGACAATTCACATCCATGAAAAGTTCCCAAGTAATCAGATGAGTTCAAAAGTTCATTTGCACTAGTTAACTTCTTTAAAATGAATGAGTACTGAAATCATATACAATTTTTCAAGTACTGCACTCCAGTGGAAAATTTGAACAGTAAAAATTAACTTCCTAAATGCATAAGAAGCATGAGTCAGTACTCTAGTAAGGAGAAAGAGCATTTAAAAGTAATAGAGGACAGTCAAAGAGGAATCTAGCATGTACTGAAAAATATGCAGTGGAAAGGTCATTTCATGCCCTTAAAGTCATCCAAAAACAGGATGAACTTGCTGGAAAAGCCATATATATCCTTTAACAAGCTTTGTGATTAAAAAAAGTTGACAGGAACTGTTAAAGAATTGTTTTGATGTGATCTTTCCAAATTTTATATCAAGTCCGCTGCTACAGACAGCTTAGGGTTTGAATGCAAATTCAGAAAGAAAGTAATTTTAGAACTTGGAAAATATTTTTATAAGGATATTTTTGGCATTACATGAAATATATTAACTAGGATGGGTTACCTTCATTGGTTTAAAGGTAGTACTATGTTTTACTGATTTTTAGGTTTTCTTGCACACTTTAGGATATTTGGTTCAGATCTATTTTGTCCAGAAAATAGGTGATAAAATTTTTAATGTTTTTCATTGTATCATTTTTTATTGTGTAGGTTAAACATGTTTTTAATGCTGACTCGTAAACATAAATGCAGTGATAGGATTTGTAAAACAATTTTTCCTTTCAGTATTGTTCCTCTGTTCAGATAGTACAGGGCTGCAAAACTATAAGAAAAATCCAGATTATGAAATTTACTTTCTCTATAGTATTTCTAAGTTTCTTCAAGTTCTCTTACATCATCATCTGTGGGTTATCCTTCCACTGGAGTTTCCAGCAGTACCATATAATATGGGGGGAGAGGGGAGTTTATTGCAAGTTTAGACTCCATGTTCCTTATAAAAAGTCATACAGCATAATTATTTTTCAGGTTTTCTGAATGTAGAAACTTCTGTCTCTTTCAATGTTGCAGGTGAAGTCCCTACATAGGAAGGAGTCGTCACCCATAATTCTGTCTAACTCCTCCCATCACTGTCATCCAGCTGCTTCACTGTGTCTGCTGTGCAGGAAAAGCAGGAATCCCAGAAGCAGGTGGTGGGAAGGACAGAGATGGAAGGTAAAACAGCAGCTGGTGGCAGAAAGCTTTTGTTAGTAATTGCTTATCCCGAATTTGAGTGGCAGCAGCGTCCACACCGCTTAAAAGATTAGTGTTCCAGCTATTTTCACTGAGAAATCTGGCGGTCAGATTTGCAGTTTATGCCTAACCTAGAGCGCAGTTTTCTCTAAAAAGAGTGAAATGTGAAGTTTCTTTTCTCAGGGGGATATATTCTATGCATCACAGGGAATTCTTTCTTGCAAGCCTTTTCAAATAGAATCAGTATAACTTCACACACTTGCTTTTTCTGAGTTAGAGGTCAGTAAAAGTCTGGTAGATACCAGTTCATATGTTTCTCCTACTAGCACAGTGTTTAATTTCATATTTCTAAGCAATTAAATTTGTGTTAGCTGCTTGTTAGGTCAAGCACTAATTATAAGTTAGTTTTCCTTGATGAAGCACCACAGAGTGTGTGCCAAAGATATTCAAATCTCCTTCTTTTAGACTGAGAGTAATCATGGTGCTGGTAATGAAGGAATTGTTTCTGATGTGAATGTAGTTCTATACACTTGGCTTTTTGCAGCATGAGAACATTCTTTTACAGCAGACATTACCCATTGCTAGAAGCTTGCTGCCAGATTAAGTGAATAAATGGTCTCATCTACTGTGGCTGCACTTCTAAATTGAATAAAATAAAATTAACTTTAGTGTTGTTATCAGTGTACTTGGCTGTTGTCTATATGACAATTCCTTTGGAAAATTATGATTGACTGCTCTCAGAGCAAAAGTTTGAATACAGAGGATAATGGACACAGGAAAACAAGACAAAAGTGAACAAAATTGTGTGGTCTTGTAGTTGCTGATGTCAGCAGTAGTGGCAATGTCAGCAAGTTCTGATATTTTCATTCAGTCTTTCAGCATACATACAGATTTTGACAAGCTGCCAAGCTGTAAATTTGACTGTTTCTAGCCATGCTGGCTGTCTCAGAAAACTTTTTTTTTTCTTTACTACCTGGGTAATGTTCTTTTCTTCCTTGTCACAAAAAAAGAAAACATCTCTTGCTAACCAAAATTTATGGAGCAATCATAATTAAATTCTGTTTCGTCATACCAGCAGTTCAGGGAGAAAGTGGAATGCTAAAGATTTTCTCTATGCAGGCTATATTGACATAAACATCACAAGATAAAACCTGACAGCTACACTTTCTTCTGAGTTTCAAATCAGATTTTAGTTCATTACTTGTGGTAGGGATTATGAAGTACATAAACTTTCAATTCTAAAAATTGATTCTGTTTTTTCTTTTCCCAAATCACATAACAATACATAAAAAAGTATTCCAATTTAAAATATAGCCATAATTTTCTAAACTTTTTTCCTCACATATCAGACTTTCTAAAAAGTGTAATTTTAATCCCAATTGTGTATTTCAGTTTCTTCAGAATTGGTAATAGTTGTAGAGCACTGTTAGAGTCTACAGACTACTTTCCTGTATGAAATTCTAAAACGAGTTAAAAGCAATTACTGAATTACTGGGTAATCATTAATTTAAACTTCAACATTAGTATTATCTAAGATCAAAAATACCAGAAGAATTAATGTAAAAATAGTATATTAGTTAACTTGTTCTGAAGGTAAGTCAAGAAGTTGATTCATCTCTATCAAATTAATGAACAGTATTTTTAGTAATAGGAAAAGAGTGAGAAAAATATCAAGGGTTGCAATGGTCTCTTCAGGGAAAGGCATCAATGTCTCGAAATACCTCAGTGCTTTCTCACCACAGTACAGTTCTGAAGTTGTTCAATCATTTGTAGCATTTTGACAAAGCCCACAAATTCTTTTTTTTCAGTATTTATGTCTTTTTCTAAAACTGAGATAAGAAATTTGCTCTAGAGTTTACTTAAAAATTAATTGGTTTTTCATATTGTTTCATATAATTTTCATTATGTTGAGAAATTAAAAATAAGAATAACACATTGCATTCTCAGATACAACCTGAGGGAAATATGTACTGCAGATTATCTTCACAAATACACAACAGTGTGCCCCCACTAAACAACTTGCTAAATAGAAGGTATTACATGATGACAGTTTAATTAAGAGTGACACTGAAGCTCTAAAACACACTCTACCTGCATCTGCTGCAAATGGTACATCATTCCAAATGTAGCCTCACTGAAACCAACTGTGGACAGAATTATTTTGTTAAACTTGGAAGAAAATATCTAAACCATGGATGCTTGAACATATGTATTTATCTTTTATTGAATTTCAGTACAGGACTTTCAAATGTCCTTGTAAAAGTGGCTATAAGTTGTAGCTAAGCAGAGACTAGAGGATCTATTCACCTAAATGTAAATCTTTGGTGACAATTAGAGAAAAATCAACTGAAATATAATAACATGAAAAGGAAAAAAAATACAATTATCTGTCTGTCCTGAAGTAAGGAAGGAGGCCTAGCATGTTGCTTCTAAATTACACAGTCAGGTTATAAAATGAAGGCATAGCCATTCCACATTACCTTTTCATGTCCTTTTGTTAGGTAGAATGTCACTAAGTTAAATTGATGGATCCACTGGGAATCTTTCTAAAGCTTATTGCTCTCTTGCACATATACTGCTGGTGTTTTCACAGATGGATGGGAAATTACAGCACAGCAGCAGGAGCAAGTTTATGGGTGAGATCAAGGGATTCTGAACTGTGAGGGAACACTTGGCCTTTGTGAAAAACTAGCATTTGATGCTTAAAGTTGTTATCTACAGCCTCTCCAAAAAGGAGTAGTCTCCGTGGTCTCCTTAAAAGTATTAGTATAGCAAGTATGTACAATTAATCTTCACAATGTCAGACAGCAAGGACTTTCAGTATTTTGAAAGAATCTGAGATTCTTTATGGATATGTAGAGTTTTTCTTTGATTGTTTTCTCTCTGAAACACAACAGAACTGGAGAGAGATGACTACAGGAAGACCAAAGGATTTAGTAAAAAGCCTAAATGAATCTTCATAGTCAGAGATGCAAATAATGACCTCCAATACACTGATATCATTTTGGGAAAAATACTCTCCTCTGGGGTCCTGCAGATCCTTACAGATTTGGCAACCCAATCTGTGGCTTAATGGCTGACCTGAATGGAGGGCAGAACAAAACTTTAGTATTTGGAAGAGGAGGAGAAAGGCAGTAAAGGCACCTTCCCTATCAGAGTGCAGAAAAAGTGGTGCTAGCTCCATTAATCTTTGTAATGACTGCCTGCTACCTGTCCCCATAAGCTCCCTCTGGGGCATTGTAAACTGCAGTTGGCACATTGGCTGAACAGGAAATCCTTCTCTTTCTAAGTGAAAAGCCAGAAACTGGACCTGAGGGTTTCCCTCATGATCCTCAAGAAAATGAACTTCTATTAACTTTTTTGTAGTCCGTGCTTTATCATGACTTTAATGGTTTAATGATTCAATGGTCCCTGTAATTCTGTTTGCAGATAATGTAGCACTTGGCTCCACTGCAATTTGTATTTAAAGATAAAATTTTGCATGTTACAGCTTTCACACATGATAATTTACATCCAAAAATATATTTAGACTATCTATAACTTTTTTTTTTCAACAGATTACTTATGCATGATGAAAAAGAATTTTTTTACTTGATTACTTATTTTTTCCCCTCCACTTTTCATCACCTAGATCAACTTGGTTCTCTTTGAATACATGGATCAATTTTCAAAGAAAATGAAAATTAAAATGAGTTAGGTGTGTTTTATAGCCGCCTTTCCTAATAAAGTAAATATATACATGTCTTCTAAAAGATTACTGCTGTTCAGCATCTCTAACATGCAGCAATCATCTTCATTAAATTTGCAAATGGTCTCCTGAACAGTGACTTATAAGATGTTAATGCTGTAGTAAACACAGAAAATGGTGTAACAAACTCCTAAATATGTCTAGGTATGAATTAACTGCTTGAGTTAATAAAAATAGCTTTAAGTTAGGTTTTTAGAGAGAGGAAGTGCAAAAAAAAAAGATGTAATCAGCCCAAACACACTTGACTTAGATGTATAATTTTAGATGCTAGTCTCAGCAGGAGTGGCATATTCCATCTCAGTAGTCCTTCCATAAGAAGTACTTTTGATTGTGTGGGAGGACATTTTGTTTATTTGTTTGGGTTTTTTAAAGGTATCTAAGAAAGAGGCCTTTGTTAAAATCTAAATGATTTTATATATAGTCATAAGTGTATACGTGTTCTCTGAGACAGGTGGCATATTTTTCTACATCCTGCTCACAGTTTTTCTTCCTAAACTTTGCCATATCAATAAGAGGTCATTTTTTTTTTCTTTCCCTATTATATAAGGATTGTTTCTGGAGTACCTGCCTGCAATAACCAGTTATTTCTGCAGAGCAAGTATTCAGTTTTTCTTCTGCTTGGACAAGGAGGAAAAGCAAGGTCTGTCAAAAAGGCAAGTGCACGCGAATTGTAGCACAGACTTCACTTGATAACATCACAGAGGTCTAATTGTAAGTAGAAAACCTCCCAGCTGTAAACCCTATAGCAAAGGTAGTAGTCTTTGGGGTGATTTTGACCCCACATGGTGAAAACTTTTCTTATCTCATTGTAGAGTTCAGCTATTCTGCATTGCAATAGTGGCACATAACTCCTGTTAATACCATCATTGGACTGCCTCACATTTTTGGATTTTTAAGTATCTTGCTAGTCAGTATAAAAACATCTTCACTTTTAAGCAAGTCAGTGAAGGGATGTCCTTATTTGAGCAAAAATTCTACAGACAGGCTGGATCAGAATCCTAAACCTCCTGATTCTTCCCCACCAGAAAGATAAGAACAAGAAAGATTGAAAACTTTCAACTTCCTTTCCACCAACAAAAGTCCCACTCAAACCTAGGCTGCTCATTTGATGAATCCGTTTGGGGGTGATGGTGGGCATTGGGGAACTTCTCTGTGCAGGATTCTGGGAATAAATATCTTGCAGTAGGAAGTTATCCATACTCTAGGCAATAGTATCCACATCTGCCAAATATTTTTGAAAGAGAACATAAACCAAAAGAAGATCAAATTACTTGAATTGTTTCACTTTTGCCTCGCAATCATTACACTTCATTAATGAATACTTCACCTCCTCTAATTTAGCCTAAAAATCCAAATTAGGCATCTTCACTCCATGTGCAGATGTTATTTTATACAATTAGGTCAAATGGAAGATTTTCTTGAACTGAGGAGCCAGGTTTTATATACCTGTGCACTTCCATATGAGATTTTGCTTTTTACTCATAGGGGTCTACAATATGATTTGCATGAGCAGAAACTCAGTCTGAACATTCATTTTCTGCCATGCAGAAAACATAAATCCTCCATTAACTCTGAGAATCTGAAGAAAACAGATTTTGAGTTTGCATGATGTTAATAATGCCAAGTTTTCTTCTTAATTAAGATATTCTAATTTCACCTAAGAGAAGTAAAATTCAGCAAATATTTTATGCTAATTGAGAGTCCATCAGTCTGACAAACAGCATGTCATTAATTTAAAGACAGTCAAAATTATTGCACATACCAGAGATTATAATATCCTGTTGCTGACATTGGTGACAAAACACATTTCATTAGTAAGCCTTCTGTCACATATTGGTGGCTATTCTGCCCTTAAAATAAAAAAAAAATCCCTTAGTAATAGAATTAGACTTATATTGTCAGTCAAAACAGCCAATAAATCAACTATCTTTCTGATCCTGACTCAAATTTAATTTTGTTGCCTGACTATGCAGGACACTTTATAATAAGAAAAATAATAAAAATTTCCCGAGGCTCAATTTTGCATCAGCTGTAAGGTCTGTGATCTCCTTTGTTTAATTCCTGCATATTAAAACATCACTTTTTGGCTTATTCAAAAGAAGCAATACATTTAAAAATCTGAAGCACCAGTTACTAAGTATTTTAGAAGTTAATTACCTCAAATATAATGCTGGCCAAAAGAGATTCCACCCCCATAGCTCATTCATATCTCGCATCTCTGTGTAATTCCTCATTTTGGATGTTTAAAGTATGGGTGACATATTATTTATACTGGTTTTGCACCTGACATTTATTTGTTTCTCTTCTCTGACAAGATGAGAAAATAATGTGTCTTGTCTTGTCTCAACACATACCACTTAGATTCTAGCTTACAAAACTGGAGAAATATGCATCTTTTTGTCATATACATGGTTCAGTGACAGTCAGTTTAGATATTTGTGGACAAGAGTATACCCAATATATTGTTCATTATGCACTGTGCTTTCTCTTTCACTCAGAGCCTTTAGAGTGTACAGGACAGACACCAAGTTCAGGAGTTATTTTTATTCCTTCAGATCTCCTAGAAATGTCTTGCTTTTGGCAGTTCACATACAAGTGGAGACAACTCTGCGAAGTATTGCCACTAGTGACTTCGCCCTTCTCAGTGAGCTGGTGAGTAGCTTGACTACTGTTGAGGAGATATTTTTTATATGTTTTGGCAGGAAACAGTGGAGTACATTTCAGAACAGTCAACGCAATTTAGGTGAGACTGACAGAGATTAAGGGTAAAATTCTTTTGAAGACTTCAGCAGCAGCTCAGAGAAGGGAACACAATGAGTTTAGATGATAATACAGACAAACACAACTATGCACAGAGAATATGTAGGAATGCAAGAATTGGCTGCATCCACATAGGATTCAGCAAATATTTTAATTTTATGCCTGTAAAAATCAGTGATTGTGAGTGCTAAAAATTGGAATTGCTGCCTGTGGTATTGTTTGTCTAACTAAAGAAGACAGCACAGGGCCCAATTAATTCATGTTATCTTTAGTTAGTGTCAGGAGATCACTCAAGCAGAAATCACGTAGCTTTTGTGTAGAGGCCAGATTGCTAAACTCAAATCGGTTTTTCACCTTGTTCATTTTGCATGTCCTGGCAGGAGTACAATATTATGAGGGCTAGAAAGCAGCCTTGGAAATATTTGAGAGGCACCCCCTTAAATGTATATTTAACTTTTTAATTATATATTTTTAAAGCATATTTGATTACATACTTGCAAAATGTCTCAATTGTTCTAGTTAATATGCCAAGATGTTAATTGGTGATAAATTTAATATATGCATACCATTATTATGGTGATTTAAAATTGTAGTATTAATTTTGACCTAAACTGTCTAATTTCTCTTTCCATCAGTAACCTGTAGGCTTGCAGAAAAATAGCCTCAACATTCTCTGTCAACATTTCTAAAATACTATCAATTTCTGTCAAACTCCTAATGTTGATAATTTATCAACTTCCATTTCTGTGAAGCTGTGCTACAACAAAGGCCAAAACCAGCTACCATTCTTATGGCCAAGACTCTATCATGCTGGTCTAAGCCAATTTTAGTTTCAATTTTTCCTCAAACCCAAAAGTCAATAGCTGAAATAGATTGAATCTGCCGAACAAGACCTGTCTAAAAAAATTGTGGAAAGGAAAACAAAACTAGAGCCATGTTGCTCCAAATCAGAAGAGTAAAAGGGAGATTTTTCTGACTGCTTTTTGGCAGGAGAAGGAAGAAGACCGGATGGGCTCAGTCTCACCTCCTGTCTCAATATGTGTACGTAGTCTCCAATGCAGTGATGTTCTAAATCAATTCTGTTTGGAAAAAATGCCAAATGGACATAGGCTGCTAAAGTGAGTCATTGGCAATGTCATTGTGATTGATATGGTCTATTGCAATTCACATCCTTCTATTGGTTTTCAGTCATTTTCTCAGCCATCTGGCTTAGGTTAAATTTTTAAATGTTCAAAGTTAGTCCAAGTAAGACAGTTTTCAGGTATACTGCTCTGAAAAAGAGAGAAAAAGTCTAAATGGAAGTTGGAATGCAGTCAATATTTTACATGTTTATACTTTGAATGCAACTGAAGTTTCACATAAGATCAGAATGGTAGTATTTAACTTTACCATATTATATCAAGCAACAGAGCTTTATATGACAGCTTAGTGTTATTTTGGAAAAAAAAATCCCAAACCTTTAAATTCAATACTTCAAATACTCTTGAAGCAATAAAATTATGTATAGCTTGAAAACTAAATTAAATTTCTTCTTAGATGCTGTATAGCTACTGAATTATTATTTTCTACACCAAGCATGTATTAATACAGATAAATGGAAGTTATATTCAGAAAATATCATAAAAGAAAATAATGTGATTTTTGCCTAGTAAAATTTTAAAAATATAGCCTAATTTAGAAGGCAGATCTATGTATCCTGCGCTTCCTCAAAGCAAGTTTGCTTGTTTTACCTATTTTCTATGCAAAAAATATTTTTTGCTAATGAATTCCTTTATAAAACAAATTATCTGGATGTTCCAGTGACAATTTTATTAATATTGCTGTGTACTTTTAATTACAAGGTTAAGGTTATAAATATCTGCTTAACTGTACAATTTGAGATAAAATTACAAGTATATCACTAATAATAATCTGGAGAACTGGGGTTTTTTATGTTCAGCTGGCTCATTCATCAGGATAATCTTAAGGAAAGTACAACACTACTTTGGTAAGAAACAAAATAAGTATAAGACATTACCTTTCCATCTAGAAGTATTCTACTGAAACTGTGAAAAATCTCCTCAGTTTGCCCCATTTGGAAAGTACATTGTGGTGTGAACATAAATAATAAGGACCTGTATGTATCTCAGAGGAGATATCTGTTCCAGCTGTACTGTGGTTATTCCATCCTTGGATAACAGAAGCATAAGTTGTCTGTTGCTATGACTGTGCCTCATAGCTGACAGGGCTTGCTCTGAAAGCAGGAGAAACCATAGGAACCAAAAGAGAAATTTTTATTTCTTTTAGAAAGAATAATAAATTTGGTCCACAAATAAGATTTAGATCTTGTCACAGATGGACACACACAATCTTTATTTTCTCATTGCACTGAAAAGTAGTCTCTTTCCTTTTGTAGTCTTTTTTTTTTTCATATATGGAAAAAAAAAAAGGAAAATTAATTCATGCTCTTGAATATCCTTTCTGTAGATGCTTCTATCACACATGAGAACTAATAAGAAAAAGTAAAATAATTAGGGAAGTACATTCAAATTCGAGGCAAAATTTGATTAAAAGCATTTTTACAGATCTCTGAGCATGGCTTGGGATATTTTCTCTCTTATTCAAATTTATGGCCCTATGGCAGAATGCTAGTCATTGTTCTCAAACACTTAAATAGATTTTTTCCTCTAAATTAAATTATTTAGAACAAGGTAAAGAAGAAAGTAAAAATATTTATATGTGCACAAATAAATAATTTCAAATTAATAAGAAAAGCGCTAAAAATACTGCAGAAATATTTTAGAAAGTTATCTGTAATTGCAAAGTTAAATGCAAAACAACAGTAGAAAGTTTAGAGAAATAACTTGTAAAGCTTTCTCCAGAGATGTGTGTACTTGTAGAATGCTAGCAAAAAAATCCTTGTTTTCTAAGCAAAGAGCCATCTGGTAGTCTGACTGGGTTTAGATTAAATTTAAGATTTTAAAATTTATAAGTGCTACTACTTGTATTCAGACCTGCTATTCTGCATAACTCATTTTACATCTGAAGAGGAAAGCACCTTGCTTTCTGTTAACCTTAGTGGAACATCTGATTTTTTCCCAACTGTTCAGTATTTAATGAAATACTTCCTAACATATGTTACCAGCTCCCTTGGGGCTTACTAGAGTGAAATGACGTTGAATGATTGGTGTTTGGGAATATATATATATACATGTAGGGTTTATTCTAGAACAAATTGTTTGCAATTGAAAGCGGGTATGTAGCCATTTCACTTGTTACTATCTCCAGCAAAATGAAAGCATAAAAATATTACTTAAGAAAATGCATAAGAGGAAATAAAGAGAGAAAGAGAAAAAAGAGAAGAGAGAAGGAAGGAAGGAAGGAAGGAAGGAAGGAAGGAAGGAAGGAAGGAAGGAAGGAAGGAAGGAAAGGAAAGAAAGGAAAGAAAGGAAAGAAAGAAAGGAAAGAAAGAGAGAAAGAGAGAAAGAGAGAAAGAAAGAAAGAAAGAAAGAAAGAAAGAAAGA